ACGGCCATCCCGCCCCGCTGCCTCACACACGTTAGGCGGTGGGGGGGGGGGGGTTAAGCGTGGCAGGCGGCGACCTGATCACAGACAGCGAACCCACCCATGCCCATTTCACTATGGTGCCAAAGGCTGGGGGATACACCAAACCAATCCACCACCCTCAGTTGTGAGCGCGACACCTTCAACAACTCACGGCCACTCACCTGCCCAGGGTCTGCGTTCCACCTGCACGTTGCAGCTACTTGCCGCCGCCGCCTCAACTGCCAAGGATGATGGCGCTACGGGAGGCGGAGGATTTGAAAGCCGGCTGTTTTGTTTCCGACGCTGTGATTCGCTCTTCAGTCTCTCCGTCTCTTGCGGCTGCGCAGGCGCTTTGTTTCCCCTCACATGCGCCTCCCAACCCCTCCGAGGCAATGTAGGCCATGGCAGTTACAGACACCGGACATGGAGAGGGGATAACAATTTCGCGTCTAGCGCCGCGGGTTTTTTGCCGCGAGGCATGGTGGGAGTTGTAGTTTTCTGTGAATCGGTTTTTTTGGCGTGAGGTTGAACTTCGTTAAGGAACGTCTCTGTTCATCACACTTGTTGCTAGGAGATGAAGTAGCAAGGCATGCAAGGGACGTGGTTACGACCAGTGTTTTCTAGTAGGGTTGACGCCTGTAAACTAGAGTTATTAACTTCAGGTCGTGAAATTCCTGGATATTGTGAAATTCCTGGGTGTGGTTCGGGGAACACAGGGACCTCGGCAGGGTCTAATGTCATAGAGATCACCCTACAAAGCAGCCATTTTCTGCAGGGTGACTGATCTCTGTCGTCTGGAGACCAAAGTATATAATTCCAGGAAGCCTCCAGGTCCCACCTGGAGGTTGGCAACCATAACTTTATTTTCCCACAAAACGTCTTTGCCTTTAGAGTTGTGTGGCTGGTGGAAATTCAGCAGGTCTTTATTGCTGTATCTCAGAGGGTCTTGCACTTTTGGGATTTCTGCCCTTAAGTTGAACAAATTTAGAGTCCAGTGGCACCTTTAAGACCAACCAAGTTTTATTCAGTGTATGAGCTTTCCTGTGCACGCACACTTTTTCAATTACACTGGAATGGAAGGTAAGATTCAAACTTATAGACGGGCTGAACAGCAAATTAACATATAACATGATGAAGATGTTTTTAAGATCCAGGTGGTCAGCCATGTTGTGGTACCTTTAAGACCAACAAAGTTTTATTCAAGGTATGGGCTTTCGTGTGCATGCACACTTTTTCAAGTACATTGGAAGGAAGGTAAGGTTCAAACTTATAGACAGCAAATTAACATGTAACACGAAGATGTTTTAAAATATGCAATACAAAACTAAATAACAAGCTAAGGTTATAAGGTCAACAGTTGTACAGCAATAAATATGTCAAAATATCAGCAAAAAGTCTCAGTCTTATTTTGAGGTGGTCCAGGCTGAGTGACTGGCCCCAAGTGACCCAGACAACAGCATCCTGGCTCAGAAGGAGGGGGATCTGAACCTGGCTCTTCCAGATCCCACCACCACCAGTTCTCATGCCTCCTGCATTTCCCACAGAAGCGGTGGGGCTGAGGGGAAGGCCTGATGGAGAGGCTGTTTCCGAAACCTCCAAGGTTTTTGTCCTCCCATGACACCTTTCCCTTCACAGGCTGAGAAGAAGTGGGGGGAGAAGGGAGGTCACTATCCCCCACCCTCTCTGACATACAGTCTGCCTCCTCGCTCCGTGGCTGTTCAGATGTGTGGCAGCAACAGGGATGCCCTTTTCCCCCTCTGCTCCTCCACTGGCTTCCGATGTCAGGATGTCTTTCCCCTTTAAGAGGCTTGCACAAAACAGCCCATTTGCCCCCCAATCCATGCACTAGCTTTCCTCCTCCTCCTCCTCTCTTCCCTGCTGGCCCTGTCCCTTCATCGGCAAACTGCTGCTCTGCATGCCCACTCTCACTGACACCCCCACCCCCACGGTCGCCACTTGGTATAGTGGTGGCAGCACCGGCCACTCAGCTCTGCCCCCCCTCCCATGTAGGTGGGTTCATCAGTCCTTGCTGAGCTGTCCTGTATTTCCAGAGAGCCAGTTTGGTGTAGGGGTTAAGTGTGCGGACTCTGGGCGAACCGGGTTTGATTCCCCCCTCCTCCACTTGCACCTGCTGATGTGACCTTGGGTCAGTCACAAGCTCTGGCACAGCTGTCCTTGAAAAACAGCAGTTTGTGTCAGAGTTCTCTCAGCCCCACCCACCTCACAGGGTGTCTGTTGTGGGGAGGGGAAGGGAAAGGAGTTTGCAAGCCACTCTGAGACTCCTTTGGGTACTGAAGGGCGGGGTATAAATCCAATCTCTTCCTCCTTCTCTTCTTCTTCTCTTTTCGCTCCAGATCAGCTGTTTTATTTTCTCTTTCAGTGTTTGGTCTTTCAAAAACTAATGTCTGGATATGTAGCCAGAGGATTTGGCTTCTGAGGGAAAAGACATTTGAGAGTCAGTGTTTTCTGACAGGCAATAGTCAGAAAAGTCGTTCTACAGAAAGAAGAAGAGAAACCCCTTTGTCTAAATATATTAAAACTGCTCTGAGGGAGAACTTAAAATTCTCAGTCAGAAAAGCTCCAGAACAGCCTTATATGGACAAAGGATACTGGAGAAGGATTTGGCAGAAGGTCTGGGTAGTTAGAGTGAACTCCCATTCAAGCCAAATAGTAAAAGGGGTTATTGCTCCTTAGGGAAAAGGAGAATAACTTCCTGCCAGTGAAAGTGGTTAGGAAGAGAACCCTGGTCTGTGATAAAGGGGAGAAGTTTAGACACCTCAGGAGTTAGTGAGAAGCTGTAATAGCTAAAGAAAAATCTGAAACTCTGAAGGAAGAAATCTAGAAACATCAATAAGAACTGTGTTAGTGCTGAACTTTACTTAACAAAGTACTTCTCAAAGAAAGATATTGAAAGCCTTGAAACAAAACTACAAATACACTCTCTTGAATGTTCTAAGAATTCAACTTTGTATATATATATATATATATATAAGAAATTTTTTAAGCTCAGCAATTTCAAACCTTGATTATTCCTATTATATATTCCCTGCCTGTTTAATAAAATCCTTATTCCGTTTTTGAAATTTAATTTGCTTCAAGTGCCATTGCTCAAGGGTTAAAAAAAACTGGACAGCTCCTGTATTTTCAGTAGAGTTCCTGAGCTGAGAAAAAGCCTAAACTAAATATCTAAACATAGGGTGGTGCAGTCAAGTTTTTTATGACAAAGAATATATACACACTACTCAGTCACTGAGGGGAACTGAAGATCTGGCGGGAAAAATCTGTCAGTTGGGGAGATACAGGGGTTCGTCATAACTGTATTTAATGGTTGGGAGTGGGAGGCACAGTTCTACAGTTGTTTCGGTGCCACTTCAAAGGTAAGTTTTAGAGGACTTCCGGTTTATGGCGACACGCTGGCTGGCGCATCTCCCGGACCTCCCGGGGATGTGATCTGCGTACCAGCGGATAGCAGGGGGGCGACGGGTCGCCATCCCTTGGAGCTTTGGCAAAAGGCTCCTAGCCATGTGGCTTTTGAGGGGCGACCTCTACACCAGTGCGATGCTGGGGAATTGAGGCGCTCCTCCGCCCCGACGGTCCTGCCACTGAGTGTCCATATGGATCTAGAGCCGCTGACCGGGACAAGCGTCGGAGATAGAGCATTTTAAACGTGTTCCGAGCGAGGTCGTATGACCAACAATGAACTGTGAGTCGGGTTAAAGTGAACGGGAATTTAAAAAGAAAGGCCCCCACAGGAACAACGAGAAAAGCGAGCCGGGGAGGGGCTCCTCCCATGCACATGAACTAAAAAACGATATACCAAGGGGGGAGCGGAAGAAAAACGTTGAAGTCTCTGTTTTGAGAGACTTACCAGAGCACGGATAAGCGCATGGGCGAGTTTCAGAGACTTTAGCAAGTTTTCACAAAAGTAAACAATCCATAAAGATGGCGCGGAAGAAGACAGAGAAAGACAAACTAGCAAAAACGAAACTAGCAGGGAGCATGAGCCCTCGACCGGAAGAGGTCACTGAGTTCTCTAAAATGTTGGCAGATTCCTTGTGCCCTCTGCTGGACCAGATGACCAACATCAAACAACAGCTGACAACTTTAAATCAGAACCTTGCAACTCAGCAGCTCCAACTGACTGAGACTTGAAAAATAACGGAGCAAACAGCTGAGAAGGTGAAGGAAATGGACACCAACACTAAAAAAAGTTAAGAAAAAGGTGCAAAAGCTGGAAAAGAACAAGCTTCAGAAGAATATTAACTTTTACAGCTGCAAATGGAGAAAGCAAATCCGGTCCTCTGGTTTCAAGGGGTCCCAGAATTAAAAGACAAGAATCTAAAGCAACTCTTGAGTGAAGCATTAGCTCCAGTTACAGATTTGAAAGTGGAATATCTTGCAAATGAAATGGATGTGGTCTATAGGTCCTATTCCATGTATATCAAGAAGAAGAATCTGCCTGGGGAGATAGTGGTCAGATTCTCGAAGAGGCATGTGAGGGATTCAATCCTGAAACCAACTACAGGAACACCCTTGAAAATCGGGGACAACATCGTCAGGATTCTAAAAGATATCTCATTTGAAATAAGGCAAAAGAGAAAGAAATACAAAGATTTAATCCTTTTTCTATAAACAAACAGCAATGCCTACAGATGGTTAATTCCAGAAGACATCATTTTCAAACTACACAATACAAAATAAAAGATTGACTCTGTCCTTAAAGCACGTGAGTTCCTGAGATTGCAGCTGGGAGAGACAGCTGAGGTCGCTAAGGAAGAAGATGACAGCAAATCCAGTGGCGAATTGGACTCGGTGTCTTCCGACGAGGACTCTGCTTCCGATAAGGGGGCGACTGCCCCCAAACGTGCATATCAATTGAGGATGAGAAAAGGTAAAACAAAATGAAGGCTGAAGGACTCTGAATTGTGCCTTAGAATCTTGGTTTTATTAGTGGATGCTGTGGGGATTCTCTTAAACAGTTAAATTAATGGATAAAAAGATAAATAATTTAGCATAACTGACTATGTCAAAGTAATACTAGCAATTTAATATTAACATTTATATAAGCTGATGTTATGATCTCCTATTCTTGGGGTTTTAGTTATTAGTGGTTTTCTTTCCTTTCTCCTTAATGTAGTTACCCCCTCCTAATTTTTCGTTGTAGTTGGTAGTCTATTAAAAAATGCAATAAAAAATCCCCTCCGGGGGGCCAAAAAAAAAGAGGTAGGTTTTAGAGTGTGGTTCTGGGGGACTGTTGTTTCACCCTGTTGCCTCTGGC